AAATGCTGGGAGAGGATGAATGAGGTGTTTAATGTTAGAAGAACAATGAAGAAGGAAGAAGATGAAGAAGATTTTTTTTTTTCGAAGGAAGAAGAAAAGAATTGGAATTGGAAAAGATATGTTTAGGTCGTGATGAATTTTGTATTGAATATGTAGGATTGTTATATAAATTAGATAAGTATGTAAGGGCTTGAAAATAAATAAAATGGGTACAAAGAGTACGAAGGGTATAATAAGTTTTAACAAGTACGAGGGGTACGAGACAAAGTACAAGGCTACCAAAATTCTTTTTTGTCTTGTACTTTTGAATCTACCGTTGATTTTCATTTTTTAGTCAATCTAATGGTGAAATAAGGGGGTACCTGATGTTAAATAGGTACAAGGGAAACCTGACTCTAGAAAGTCCCTAGTATCTTACATTCTTACTCTTATTTATTTGTTTTTTAATATTTTCAACATTAAAACTTTGATATTGTTGATTTACATATTTGATAATTAGTAAAAAAGAATTAAACTTTAGTCTTAATGCAATAAAATTTAACCTTGAAATATATTTAAAAGAACGATAAGGCTGAAGCGAATTGTACAAAAATTTCACTCGAAATTTAGGGCCAACACCCCAATTGAGCTTTAATTGTGATGTATTCAATTGGGATTTCAAGTGATATTTTGAAACTTTTTAAAATTTGAGATTTGTTAAGATTTCCAGATTTTGGAAAAATTACGTGAAATCCTTACTCTAGAGGTGAAATTTGAAGTGAGATTTCATATAAAGTTTTTTTGTTTAGAAATCCCACTAAATCTTAAAAAATATTAATAAATCTTAGTTTCAAATAAATTATATACACTAAGATTTTGTAGAACTTTTTAAAATTCTAATTGAATACCCATAACAAAAGTCTTTAGAAATCCTAATTAAATACATCCTTAAAATTTCAGTTACTAGGAATTTAACAAATTCAGCAAGTGGTCCCTAAACCCTAACAATGGACGGGCACTCAGCGCACCTCACCGCGCCAGTCCGTTCGCGGAGCTCCCAGTCGCCGTCTCCCTCCCACTCCGCGTCGGCCTCCGCCTCCTCGTCGATCCACAAGCGCAAGCTCCCGCCGGAGGACCACGCGCCGCCCTTCCCTCCGTCGTTCTCCGACACGCGCGACGGCGCGCTGACTTCCAATGACGACCTGGAGAGCATCAGCGTCCGCGGCGCCGGCGACGATTCGGACTCCGACGACGAGTCCGAGGAGGAGGAGGAAGAGTACGACAACTCCATGCGCAATTTCACGGCCTCTCGTCTGGAGAATAGCAGTGGTGCTGGTGGTGGTGGGCCCACCGCGAGGAACACGAAGATCAAGGTTGACAGCTCGGTGAAGGCCGAGCAAGCTGAGGTGGCGAAAGACGGGGATGGTGGTTTGGCTACAGCAGCAAACGGTACGGTTCCGGGGATTGTGGTGAAGGAGGATTCTGTGAAGAGCATATTTACGGACAATATACAGACTAGTGGGGCTTACAGCGCTCGAGAGGAGAGTTTGAAAAGAGAAGTAAGCTGTCATACAGTCTTAAATTAGAGCCAGCATGCTTTTTGTGCGTCTTCTGTTGGGGAACTGCTATCAATTGGTTGTTACGTACTTCTATCAATATTTAGGCATTAATCTGTATCAATGGGAGTAATATTCACCAATGTTCTAAACCTGTATTGAATCTTAATTGCCTGTGGTATAGTCATCGAACAACTTATATTGCTCCCTAATTACCTAAATTGCAGGAGGAATCAGGGGCAATCAGATTTGTATGTGCTTCGAATGATGGTATTGATAAACACATGATCTGGTAATTGTCACTGGTTTTCCTTCGAAGCTGTGTTGAATCTGATTTGTAATCATTGAGTAAAGCTGGGATTTTTTCACACTAAGTGCTCAAGACTTGATTAATGACTTCGGATATATGCTTTCAGGCTGATTGGGTTGAAAAACATATTTGCACGACAACTGCCCAACATGCCAAGAGAATACATTGTTCGTCTTTTAATGGACAGGTATTACCTAGATCCAATTCTTTGTTGTATTTTTACGATTGGCTTGATGTTCGTGGATCCAAAAGATGCCCTGGCTTGTTCCATTGCAGGTCGTTTTATTCAGATGGTTTTGGTAGTGCAATATGACATGATTGTAGACCGACATATTAGTTGGTGAAAGATTCCATGTACTGTCACTCTTGAGTTTATCATCAGATATACCTTAAGTTTGTCAAGAACGAGCTCTGGTTGCATTAGCAGTAATTATATTCTCTTTCAGGATTATAAATTAGTAAGTCATGTTGAGATATATGTGCACAGTGAATGCCTATTTTAATGTCAGAGATCTAGGATATGTTATTAAGACTCTAGTATCCTTACTTCCACTTATTACCAGTATTTCCATGCAATACTTGTTATAATCGTGCTTGATTTTAGTTATTCTAAAGTCCAACCTTTTTATTAAACTTTAACCAGTTGTACCTGCCGATAATGCTTATGTGTTGTAAATTACTTCCATGCGATCTGCACCTAAGAGAGTATATATGTGTTGTTGTATAACAGAAACCACAAGTCTGTAATGGTTGTCAGAGGAAGTCAGGTTGTTGGTGGGATTACATATCGACCCTACATCAGGTACAATCTGTCTGAGTCTCATTTTCTTTTATTTTCTTTCCTTCTTTTTTTTTTTTTATAAATTATTATCTGAAGACCATTCATAAAGTTTTGT